CCATGACTTCTAGGAATAAAATGACGCAATTCAGATCATGTATGACACAATACCAGCTTCAGATTGCATCATTCATTGTTTTGCCTAAAAAGCAAGTATTGTCCAAACCCAGTCATCAGTTTATTCATAGATCCAGTCAAAGATGTATTTGAGTCATTTCTGGTTTAAATTGAGATCCCTTCCCTTTATAACTCACTTATCCTCTGCCATTCCCAAGTCAAGGGTCGTATATACTGACCCAATAGCACATCTTGAAAACTAGAGCCAATCAACAATTTTAAGCATCATTTTTGTTCTCAGTGACCCAGAATTAGTAAAGTTTGACTACATTTATTTCAGAAGCATTTTGGCTGTAGAGCAGTGATATTTGCAAAGAAAAGTAGTATTAATGAAGATCCTCTAACTCAAACTGCCAGGCATGTTTTTTTCTTTAAAACTTTGTAAAGGAGGAGGGTTAAAACCCCCTCTTTTTGGCTAAGACTTCGTGATAAAGTGAATAATTCTCACTGCAGTTTGAAACCCCACAAAACAGGTTTATAATGGAAGTGCTGACCCAGCCTTAACTTTGGCATCACAAATGAGATGCTGAATGTCAAATCACTGAACACATTACCGAGAACACAAGCACAGGCAACTGCTGGTGACAAGGGGGGTTAAAGATTGTAAAAGGGAGCATCTGAGATGAAATGAAAAACCAGCATAGAGGTTGTTACCAGCAAAGTGAATAAAATAATAGCTAGCATCTCAGTTTATTTGGTTGGCAGTAACCCAACTATATTACCAATTCATTTTTGAAAATAAAAATAGCTTTGTGGAAGTCGTAATTGTTTTAATGGACAGAGGAGCATTCATTTCCAAGAAGATCCAACTGATTGCACCTGTAAAAAGAATGAAATGAGAGAGAGAGATGGAGATTGCTGCTGTTACAATGACTAAGGATGCTGTTTTGTATTCATTGCACTACTAGTAACCCCAACCTTCCATCAAGATGCAGGAGGGACAGTCTGTCCCATCACATGCAAAGGAAATACATTTCTACAACACATTTTACCACTACCCATCTGAACTTATCCAAACCTAGGGCTAAATCCTCCTCTCAGAACCACCTCATGGATTTCGGATAAGTAGCTGAAATAAAGGATTATGTTGGCTGAAATGTGGAAATGTCGATATGGAAACATGTTAATGCTTCCAAATCCCGAAGCATGTGGTATGCTCTCAGTACCAGACATCATCATTGGAGCAAATAGGTTTCCAAAGAAGGGAGGTAGTTTTGCCAAAGTATTGAGATTATAGCCCAATATACTGTTAATTCAAATTCTACTGGTCTGAGTGAAGGCCAGTTTATCTGAAAGGTTATCCCTGCCTTCCGGTTGTGTGCTTTCTCTGATATGGAGCCACTCTGACCTGGAAGATGGGTGGACAGATGTACATGACCTAATAAATATTCCTTAAAGTAAAAGTTCAAATGCAGATATTACCATTCAAGAGTGTTACATGGATTTGGGACATTCCACATTATTTTAATTCTATAAAGCCTTAACCCACAGTTATTATGGATAGAAATTCATACTGTATCCTTTTCACCCAGACAGGGTTTCTTGAATGAAAACAAAGGATGTACTCAACAGCATCAGTAAACAGAGAAATATTTTATATATGCAGTGTGTGTGCTTGTATATATGCACATGTAATATGTGTGTGTGTGTTTTACACATGTGTGGAGATGTACATGTACACCTCTTAATATTACACCATGCTATCTAGTATGCTCTGTATAGAAAATACATATACAAATTAATTGGGTATCATTTAGGAATCTTGCAGATGTTAGTGATGAACCAAGTGGGTAGAATGTTTCTTTCAGCTCTTTATGAACATGGGCCGGAAATGTGCAGAAGGAAATCATTTTCCCAAAAGGTCTGATGGGGCTGTATAATTTTTTCCCCTACCTGCATGTTAAAGAAATGAGAGAGACCTCATGTATCTGTTTTTGGTTTTTTTTCTGGTTGTGACATGCTGCCTATTCAGTTCATCCCCTAACCTCATTCGTGTTACCCTGATTGCCATCAGAAAGCATAGCAGTCTGCTAAATTCAGCACTACACAGTATCCAGCGGGGCAGGTTCCCCCACAGATGCAGCAGGGCTGGCGTGAGGATTTTGGGGAGAGCCATCAAAGTGAGTTTTGAAGGAGCCCCATGTGGCATCACAACCCAGGATCACATATGCATCATGGCATTGTTTTAGTGCTTAGTCATGCAGCCTTGCAGACTGAATTCTTCTCCACAATTCACGAAATGGGGGTGGGGATTGGGGGCTGTCTCTGCCTCTTGAGTAGGGGAATAGGCTATGTACCCCTTTCCTCTGCTGCCCATATTGCCTCCTCTCTTCTTTCACGCTGGGTGGGGGGATTCTGGCACCAATTTTATAGGGACAGTCCTGATATTTGGGGTTTTTTCTTATATAGGCTCCTATTACTCTTCCCCCCCCCCCCCCACACACACACCCACACACCCTCTGTTCCAATTTTTCACACTTGCTTTCTGGTCACCCTAGTTAGGGGACAAGGGGCAGTTCTCCTTTTCTTCTGTCCTCTTTGCACTGGCTGCCTGTAATTGAGACAGCTCCTCCATTAATTCCTCACCTTGTAACCAGAGGCCTCACTAGCACTTCAGCAGAGGAGCCAGCTCAGCTGCAGGCAGGCAGCCAGCCAGGACTGAGCTAAAGACAGCCCTAGCATCATTGGCAGCAACCCAAGTTGACGTTACCTTCCACAGCTGTGGATTGGTCTCCAAAAAATGGAGACCTGTAGCTGTGGACCTGACAGGTCAGTCCTGTGCAGCTGTGGCTGGTACTGTGAATACCTGGCGAGCTTTAGGAATCGTCCTCATAGCAGATACACAGGCCAGTGCTCAGTTTTCATTCTGAGAGCTGTCTTTCCAGCAAAGAGGGCAAGGAGCATATTTTCTCTGTAAACGAAAGCTAAGGTTAACATTGACTAAAACTCTGAGGATGTGCAGGCTGTGTGGACCCTAAATACTGTCTCTGAGTGTGTGTAGTCCAGGAAGGCTGGAGAACTTTTTATTTTGGAACCCAAAGAGATCTACAACACCACTTGAAAATAGAATTGAATAGTAATTTGTTGTATTGCCTGATTTTTTACATCATATCTACCTCACCGAGGGCCTAGTGAGGCTAGTTAAATAAGGTTTATAAAGAGCTTTGAGATCCTCTGATAAAAAGCAAAGTATTATGGAGAACTCATTAAAACCTGAGTGTATTTTTACCCAATATAGGCTAGCTGGGTTCTGATTTACTGCAGATGGGAATTAGTGGGGGAAAAAGTGGTTTTCACTTCTAGTAAACACGGCGCCTGTTATCCCTAAGAGAGAGAAGAAATCATTTGAAATTAGCAGAAAGCTGTAGTAAAGCCATGTAATGTGATATTTCATGTGGGGGGAGGGGGAAACTTAAGGAAGTCTTTGTAGCCCTGCCAATTCTCTGTTTCCTCTCAGGCTGCCCTGGGCTTGGAATTCTCTGAAAGATCCACGGGCAATTATCTGATGCAACTTAAAATCAACACCGCTTGAGCATAAGCACAATTGAGAGGAAGGAGAAAAAAACAACCTGTTTTTCCACCCCCTCTTCTTTCTGCAGTGCATAAGTGTGTAAGCAGTGTATTTCCATTACACATTAGCCTGGCTCCTCAAAAAAATGCTGAAAAATAATGCAACCCAATACAGAATGTGATTTATTCCCCTGCTGATAACTGAGATCATCCAGCATTCCAGACAGGCACAGTTAATGGATGACTTAACCCTCACCCAGCAGCTGATTACAGGTCCTCAGGAGACAGCAGGCAGCTTTGTCTGTGTAGGGTTGTAGAAAATGCAGTGCTGTTTCTTTTCCTTTTAGTGTTATTGCAAGTATATTCAGCAGTGGAATGTTAAGGAACTAAAGCAGCATTGCAATTAACCTCCATAAATCTCTTCTCCCTAGAACACTGGAATGCACATAGATAGAGATGGGGCATTGAGGCGCCTCGTGCTTATCTAGAAATTGTTTTCCCTTTGTAAAAGCTCTTCATTATGTGACATGTATGGAGCAAGCTAAAATTGTCTGGCAGTTTTTCTTTTGAAACTACCTTTGGAAAAGGAATGCGACAATAAAGTCAGATGATGGTGTTCTGTTAGAAGTCCTGTAAACATGACTTAGATACCTCCAAGTTGAGGGATTTGGATGTCTTGTGGAAGTTAGCGCTGGGGTAGCTGGTCACTGTTTCAAATCCAGCCCCAGGTTTATAGTGATTGAAAGACAGTGCCATGACAGCAGCTGGACTTTCTGAAGCAATCTCAGGCTGTTTCTTACAGGTGACCATCAAAATCAGCAGACGGGGCATGGAATCTGAACTAACTTTTCAAAGAGAGATTGTTATTCCCATTCAAGGCATGAGGCAGCATGCAGAAGTTTTCTGCGCTGCTGCTTGTGCTGTATCAGCTCTGTAGATAAAGGATTTTAGTTTTTGTTGCTCTCAGCATGGCATATTTAACAAGCACTTAATTGTTTATTAAAAAAAAGTTTTGTGTCAAAAGTAGTTATGCCAGCAAAACTAATTATCTGTCTTTGCAGTGAAGAAATAATTGACTCAGTATTGTAACATTTTTTATTCTGTTTGAAGAACTATATATTTTTTCTTTTCTGTATTTTAAAGTTGCAGAGTTGTGTGTGCGTGTGTGTGTGTGTGTGTGTTTCTTTTGCATATTGCAACACTTGGTCCAGGCTAAATTGAAAAATGGGATGTTTGATATGTGCTCCCAAGTTAATATTTTCGATAGTACTACAGTAGTTCTATAACAATATTAATACACACTGGATCCTGCTGGCCATTCTTGCCTTCCTTCAATTGCTCCTTATATTCGAAAGCCTGGCATGCTCTTCAGCCATGTCACCAGAGGGACAAAAACACACCAGCACACCATGCTCTCAAGCTCTCCATCAACATGCAAGGGGGTGCATGCCCCAACCCTGCCTGGCGCCCCCTGCAAAGCCATTCATGGATTCATAGGATTGAGCCAGATGTGGTAACTTGATTATAACGATGCCATCAACCATGGTTAAGGCTAAGTTTATGTCATGGAAGTCATGGATTCCGTGACTTCCAGAGATCTCTGTGACATTTTCTGCTTCAGACCCGGGGCAGGAGGGCTAGAGCTGTCAGCTGGCGGGGGTCCTGGAACTCAGAGTTGCCACAGGCTTCAGGAGGGACCCAAAAGCTGTCAGCCACCGCAGCAGTGGGTGCTGGACCCTCTCCTAGCATCCCACATCAGGGCTTGGGCTCTCATCACTCCATCAGCCCCATTTTGTCATGGTTATTTTTTAGTAAAAGTCACGTACAGGTCACGGGCAATAAACAAAAATTCATGGAAGCCCGTTTTTTTTTTTAAGGGGGGTGATTTCGTGTTTTTTTTTGTTTGTTTGTTTTGTTTTGTTTTTGCCCATGACCTGGCTGTGACTTTTACTAAAAATAACCATGACAAAATCTTAACCTTAATCATGGTCATTCAGGCTGGCACAATGGTCCTCAGTAGACAGTGCACGTTTGATGATGATGATCCTGATAAAATTATACTCTGTGGCAACTGCAAGTGTAAATATGCTTGGGTGAATCGTGTGTGGTGTTAATTAAACAAATTTCAAATGGGGGCTGGGGGCAGGTGGACGGGGGGAGAGGCTAGAGACCTGACTCCTTCTCCCAATGAGTAATGCTGTTTTTGGTCTTCCAAGCACTACCAGCTCAACTGCAAGTAGCTGTGATACGGAGTTCACAAAGGAGGATGAGCAGAGGTTGAAGGATTACATCCAGCAGCTGAAGAATGACAGGGCAGCAGTCAAGCTGACCATGTTGGAGCTGGAGAGCATCCATATTGATCCCCTTAGTTATGATGTCAAACCTCGTGGAGACAGCCAGAGGCTAGACCTGGAAAATGCAGTATTGATGCAGGAACTCATGGCAATGAAGGTATTTTATAACCTGCTGTCTTTGCCCCTGATTGCTTCATGGTATTAGAGAGAGGTAACTAACAGTGATGCTCAGGACCACTATGAGACCTGAACATCCCAAAGGACATTGTGACAATAGCAAGAATGTGCACAATTTACCCCTCTCTATCAGGTTATCGCATAACCTAACCCTGTCACATGCCCTGTGCTATATCTGAAAGGTTGTAGCATACCCACAGCCCTGTATCCTGTGCAGTCCATTAGACCTAAACTATTCAATAGGGACCCTAATATTACACAACATTGTAACCCCATTGCTTGCCCCCACCACATCCAATGCAACCAGTATAGTGTCCTTTGTGCTTGTTTATTTTTAAATTAAATTGTTGTTGTGATGGTTGGATCACAGAACCCCCCTTGGGAGCTGCCACCCGATGTACCAAGACACTAATACTTTATACACAGGTAACACGACCTCCCTACTCCTCCTTGATATTGCCGTCTTTAAGTATTTGAGATTTGTGTCCAGATACACAGGGCTCATAAGTCCTTTTCATTGTAACTGCTTTCCAGGAAACAATTCCCCATCCTATAAATGTGACCTACATTGTTTATTCCTAGATATATGACCTTGCATTTGGCCATATTAAAACACATTGTTCAAATGATACTAGATGCTCTAGGTCTGCCTGGATGACCTCTGCCTGTCATCATTTACCACTCCACTAATTTTTATGTCACCTACAGATTTTCGCAATGATTTTATATTTTCTTCCAGAAGATTGATAAAGATATTGAATGGCACTAGGCCAAGAACAGATCCCTGTGGGACCCCACTAGAAACCCTCCTGTTGGGTGATGATTCTCCATTCACAGTGTTACTTTTTGCAGTCTGTCAGTTAACCAGTCTGTCAGTTTTTACTTCATTTAATATTGGCTACATTAACAAAAAATTCACTATACTAAATTATCAAAATGTCATGCAGGACTAAGTCAGATGCCTTACGGAAGTCTAAGTATAATATGTCAGCAAGTTACCTTTATCAACCAAACTTGTGATCTCATCAAAAAATATCAAGTTTGTCTGACAAGATCTGTTTCCATATAACTGTGTTGTTTGGCATTAATTGTGCTATCACTCTTTAATTCTTTACTGATTGCATCCCAATCAGCCTTCCCACAGTTTGTCCTGAAATTGATGTTAACTGCCTATAATTAGACCAGCATTGCTGAATGATACAAGGCTCTCCTCTATCAGAGCTATGTCCACTGCCTCCTCTCACAGTCTGAGCACTGAGTTTTTGGGCAGAGAGAGTATTGCCCTTCTCCTCCCTCTACAAGAATGTTAATCTAACTAAATAAGCACTGGAATGTTTTGATATCTTCTTCACTGACCGTGGACTTTCATGGGAAAGTAAGATTCTTTGACACCCCTTCCAGATTTTGGGGCCTCAGAATATGCTTTCAGGTAAAAATTGTGGCCACGTTTCTGGAGTAAGCCATATAGAAAGGAATTGCTGTACTTCTAGATACGTCCAGATGGTGTATGAGAGCAGATCTGATTTGTGGGCATGGGGAATGGATACACTGACATTATACCATGCATACAACAAGGGTTTGCTATGAGAAAGTTTGCCGCAATATTGTAACCCATCTTACTAGCAGCAGAATTATCTGTGGGAACAAGCTTTTAAAATTAAGCTTCCTTGTAAAGTATCATATCTCTCTCCTGTGGGTCAGATTCAGAGAGGAGACAAAACTAGTATAATGTTAACCTTTGTCAGAACCTCTCAACAGTTAGGATAAGTTACACTAACAGACTGTCTTAGATTTTCACACCTGCTTTCAGCATATCACTTGCCCCTTTATCATCACTGCTGAATTTGGTCCTGGGAGTCTGAGTTAGGGTTACCAGATGTCCCAATTTTATAGGGACAGTCCCGATTTTTGGGTCTTTTTCTTATATAGGCTCCTATTACCCCCTACCCCCTGTCCTGATTTTTCACACTTGCTGTCTGGTCACCCTAGTGTGAGTGCAAGATGGTGTGACTAAAAGGAAATATATATTACACCAATTCAGACTTCTCTCTGAGTAGGACCTCTTATGGCTCAAGGAGATAGCTTTTCAAACATTTCCGTGGTTATTTTTACTTATAAATATAATACATAATTATATTCAATACCAATAATATATTTACACCAGAAAATTCTCTACTGCTGCCTGTGTCTGTAAATGTTCTTTGTTTAGATAATACATTTGAATCTTATGAGTGATTCCTAAATTAAAAATTCATTGAAAATTAAATTTAAGCCCCATCTTGGCAAGCAGCACAAACAGATTTCTTTCACTGTAACACTCTGTCTCCCTTTCGTGTACAGTTCTGTGAAGTGGTATCTTGATGTGATTGTCTGTGTGTCTCCAACAGGAGGAGATGGCAGAGCTTAAGGCACAACTGTACCTGCTAGAGAAAGAGAAGAAAGCACTGGAGTTGAAACTCAGCACTCGAGAGGCCCAAGAACAGGCCTACCTAGTTCACATTGAGCACCTAAAGTCTGAAGTAGAAGAGCAAAAAGAACAGAAAATGAGATCCCTCAGCTCCACCAGTAGTGGCAACAAAGACAAATTGGGCAAGGTCAGGAATTAATGCAAGTCTCCAGAATCAGAGTAAACATAACTAAAGATATTTCATCTCCCTGTCATTACCAGTTTTAAGCATGTTAATCATCCCTGCTTTCTCCCTTCCATCTACACACACACAACCTTTCTCCATCTTCCAGTTGACATGTATTATATGTAAGGTTAAGATTTCGTCATGGTTACTTTTAGTAAACGTCACAGACAGGTCACAGGCAAGAAACAAAAATTCACGGAAGCCCATGACCCATCCGTGACTTTTACTAAAAACAACTAAGAAGAACAGGAGTACTTGTGGCACCTTAGAGACTAACAAATTTATTAGAGCATAAGCTTTCGTGGACTACAGCCCACTTCTTTGGATGCATATATGCAAGTACTCCTGTTCTTCTTTTTGCGGATACAGACTAACACGGCTGCTACTCTGAAAACTAAAAACAACTGTGACAAAATCGGGGGTTGGGGGGCACGGATCCAGCACCCACTGCTGCTGCAGCTCCCAGGTCCCCCAGGCGCCTGTGGTGGCTCGGAGATCCAGAGTCCCCATCACCTGTGGTGGCTGAGAGCGCCAGAGTCCCCACTGCTGCCCCCGGTGGTTTGGAATTGTGGAAGCTGCCCACAGCCAGAGCTCTGAGATCCACCAGCGGCTAAGAGCTCCTAGGCCCCCACTGGCTGCCAGTTCCAGCCCTACCGCTCCTGGGCTGAAGCAGAAAATGTCATGGAGGTCTATGGAAGTCACAGATTCTGTGACCTCCAGGACATAATCTTACCCTTAATTATATGGCACCTTCCATCCTGGGATCTCAGACACTGCAAAGTTAAGCCCCTGTCCCCTGAGCAAAATGCAGTTATAAATTCTGGGACGATGACAATCATTCGTCACTAGCATACTAGCTACTATTGCCAACTTTATTGTCATCTGACTGTTGTATCTCCTTGAAAGTCAATAGTGATGGGGTCTGTGCATCCAGAAATAAACTGAGATACATTAGTGCTCATTTCATTAGGAAATGGCTGGAGATTTATTTATAAAACCCCCTCGCAGTGCAGGTAGGTACCAATGGTGGGGGGAGAGAATAATTTCCCCTTAAATTAACAAAATCTGTGTATTGCTATCTTTAGGTTTATAATTTTTCTAAGGAAATAGGGACACCCTAGAAATTCTATAATCCCATGCCTATGCTGCTGTATCCCTTTATTCCTCTGTCCCTGCAAAGCCCCAGCAGCAAAAAAAATTACAGAAGTGTCCCTCTGTATTTTTGCCTACACATCATTTGAATTTCTGCTTGCCCACTGTGCTTTTTCCCTTCAAACCCAGTGTCAAAAGTGAAATAAGACACCAGAGAATGTATGCTGCATAGCAGAATTCTGCAAATTATTGATTATTGTGGGATGGTTTGTAAAACATTGGATGAGTCTATGGAATATAATGCATTGACCCATCTCTTGGTGCATTGATGTTTCTACATGACTCTTGTGTTGTTTATACTGATTTAATTTTAGCTCAGTTTTAAAAGCAGTTGTAAGTTTAAAAGTGCTCATAGTCCGGTCCCCCCCCCCCCCTTAAGGTGATGAGTAACTCTTAGTAAGGCGATCTTTCTCATTTCTCAGGAATGCACAGATGGGACCACAACACCATTAACCCTAGCTGAGCTGAGACCATACAACGACAGTGAACTGGCTGCAGAACTAACAAATGCACTCAGACGGTAAGCACCCTCTTCCATTTCCTGGAGACATTATTTATTCCACAATCCTAGGGTAAGATTTCATTCTGGGTTGTATTTTTTAATCTGGCACGTTTTATAGGGATCGTCAGAGGTTTGCCCATGAGGAGGAACCAGGACTAAAGTTTTCTAACAGTTCGTTTTCTGCTTGTTGTTCTTTGCTTGTTTTTTTAATTTATAAATTGCTCTGTGGTGCTCATCTCCATGGTCCCTAAACGTCTCAGAAATGTGAATGAATTTTAGCCTCACAAAACCTTTGAGAGGTGGGGAAATACTGTTATTCCCATTTTACCCATGAGGAACATGAGGCACGGACAGGTTAAGTGATTCGCTCAAGGTCACCAGGAAATCTATTGTAATGCTGGGATTAGAATCCAGAGCTCCAGCTAAGAAGGTTTGGCCCCAGGTCAGTAGTTGGATGGGAGACCACCGAAGAACCCCTAGGTGTTGCAGGGAAAAGTTTTGTTGCTTCAAAAGCAGCATTCACTCTCTGAGTGAGTACCAAACCAGTGCCATGACATGGTGATAAGGTTGCTGTTTTGTGCGAAGTTTTGGCTTTCAGATGAGATACAAAACGGATGTCTTGAAAACTTTTTTTCATTAATAGCCAAACTTTTAAGCTGAAGTCCATATGCAGTTGCATACCCACTATATATTCCCATATGTAATGGTTGCAATTGTGCAGTGTATGTGGTGACTTAAAGTGAAAATAGTTATTTAGATGCCTAAATGTCATTTATATGCACGTTCCGCCGGCCTCCAATTGTAAAGATTTGGCCTTTATCAATCCCATAGAACTTTTTTGCAAGAGACCAACTGCCCAGTTCCTGCTATGGTAATTACATTCTACCTACCTAAAATTACACTAACTGTTTCAGTTTGAAAAATATATTCATCTGCATTTCTGGCCTAAAAGCTGTATATAGTATTGGTGTGGCCTATCAGACAGTTGCTGTGTTTCACTCCAGAGGCAACTTCATTTCAGTGTTTAAGTATGTAATGTACACAGGGATCCCTGAGGCTGAAAGGCATTATATAAATGTAAGGTCATTACTACTGTAAAATCAATACAGCTAATATTATTTGCTTCCTAGTCTCAAAGTTGCAGTTGCTGAATATTTAGCTTGGCTGGTGCAGTAAACAAAAAATGTTGTGGTTAAAAAATTGTAATTTGTTTGTGAGGGTGTGTTCCGTTGGGTAAAACTTGGCTGGGTAAGTGAGTTGAATAATCATTATCCAAGAGCCTTTTGCCTCAGCCCAATGGAGAACAGTCCTGGCACTGAGAGCTGGGTCAGCATTGTGTGTCTTCTTTCCAGCTGTAGCTTTTGCATTTTATTGCCTTTTGCTCCCGGGTTTCAAGATGGGACCACTGGCCTTAACTAGCAGAGATTGAGTAGAGTCACGAAGTGCGGTTTGCTGACTAAACACAGAAAAACTTCAGTTTATCAAATGCGCCATAAGTCAATTAGCATGGATTTCCAGTTAGGACCTAGCAAACAGATAGTGAGTGCAGCCAATTGGGCAGGAGGGGAAAGAAAAAATAATCAGATTAAACTGCTCATAAAGTTAGGAGCTTACGCTCTTTGTATAATGGAAATTGGACTGAGTTAGTTACAACCATGTTACATGTGATTGTTGCTGTCAGCTGGGTTCCAGCACGATTTCCATGATCAGTGGGGACAGGAATTTGTACTGAGAACTGTGCCAGCCGAACCAGGCCATAGGCTAATCTCCTTATGTAGTCAGTTGATTTTTAAGAGAGTTCTCAGAGAAAAAGTCCTATTCCCAGAGCTGAGGGAAACTATGCTAAACCCTGATTGGCAACAGCTGTGTTTAAAAAGATCTATATCATTGTACTTAACTTGGTTTTGATCTCAATGTAGATAGGGTCTTAGAGATCTAAATAAGGTTTATGTAACTGTGAATCCACAAAAGGACCTTTTCATCATTAATGCAACTATAATGATGTTTGTGCGTGCACAACAACACTAACAGTCACTATGAGCTGAGTTTTGACATTGGGGGGTGGAGTGTGTGTGGGGGGGTGGGAGACTGATGCCCTGAGAGCTGGTGTGCAGATTTCTCAGTCCTGCTCCCATTTGCATCTCAGGAGGATGTATTATCAGTGCCTCCTGTACTCCCTGAGTCCATATCTGTGACATTTGTGAAGACGCCACTCCCTGAATAAGGGAGTCTGTGAACATCCTAGGAGGAAAAAGCTCTTGAAAGTTATCTCTGGAACCTAATAGTGACATTGCTCAGTGCTACTCGTATTAGCAGAAACATCCAGCCATTGTGCTTATAATCCATGGTTGTTAGACACAGTGGTGAATACTGAGGCACTGAGATAGCTGGTTCCTAAGAGGGGAAAAGAAGGTCACATCCCCCAAAAATGCAGTCACCTCCAAACCTGCCCACAAGTAGTGAGAGGGAAAGAGGAGGTGCATTTCTTCCCTGTAGCCAAAAGCCTCAAACACCTTCAGAGTGTTATAGGTCCAAACTGCCTCCCACACCTTCCTGGTTGCCAAAAGCACCAACTGTTTTCCTATTGGCTGTCGAAACCTACAGCTTCCCCCCTAAATGATCTTTTTTATGCAGTTGCTGCAGAGCATATGGGGGCCTTCTCTATTGAAGTAATGCTAATTGTATTTTAAAATAGTGTATTGCTGTGAAAAAGCAGAGGAAGATTGTCTTGTGGAGGAAAAAAATAGACATTGACATAATGATTTGGAAGCATTTATTTTTTCATGGCCTGTAGCTAGTTTTGCAGCAGCATCACTACCAAATGTACTCAGTGCTGCAGTGATTGCTTAAACTCTTGCTGCGTCCAGACAGTGTTGACCCTTGAATTAGCTTCTGAAGGCCTAGGGGTTCCCTAAAGCATCAGTGAAGTGCTCATAAATGAATGATTTGGGGAGATCCAACAAAAGGATCCTATTCTTACCTCATTGTTTTGGTGCATATTTGTATTTGTACCCATCGGTGCTGACTTCCACTGTTCCTGGTGGGTGCTCGGCCTCGCCCCGCCCCCATTCCACCCCTTCCCTAAAGTCTCCGTGCCCTTCCCGCCCCCATTCCACCCCAAGTCCTTGCCCCTGCCCCGTCTCTTCTCTGCCTCCTCCGTTGAGTGTGCTGCATCCCCACTTCTCCCCCTGTCCCTCCTGGAAAGTCTAAGCACCGCTAAACAGCTTTTTGGTGGCGGGAAGTGCTGGGAGGTAGGTGGAAGAGCAGGGACGCGGCGCGCAGGGAGCGGGGAGGAGATGGGGGGCGTGGGGGAGGAGGGGAGCTTGGCTGCCGGTGAGTGCAGAGCACCCACTAACTTTTCCCTGTGGATGCTCCAGCCCCGGAGCACCCACAGAGTCGGTGCCTATGTTTGCACCAGTTTTACAGGTTCCCTTGTCACAGTTGCTTTGGAACCAACTTGACAGTTTCTCCTGACTGTGTACACTGAGAAACTCCATCTAATGTGCTTTCACTGTAGACCTCTTTCCTCTTCTCTTCTCTAAACAAGCCACACACAAAGTAGTAGTTATCTGCAAGTTGCATGCTATAAAGTCACATTTGGGCTACAAGGTTTCCACTATTATAGACTGGGGTGGGCGGGTGGGCTGGCTTTCTTGCTTTGTTTGTTCATGCCAAGTTGTGGCTGAATGTAAATCTGCCCCATTCCCCAAAATATATATTTAGCACTGCTTTGTTTCTCTTTTTATGGTCTAATAGAATGCTTTGACGGGTGTCCAAAGTGAAGACATTTGACAGTCTCAAGACAATGAGTAATGGTGCCGCACAGATTGTTGGCAGGAAATATCTTGTGTTCAGGATGGAGTGAAAAAATATTCCCAGCAGCCTGATGGCATCGCATTGTGTTGTGTCATGCCAGAAACTGGGGCTGTAAGAGAGGATTTGTTGGAATTCCCAACTGCTAGGAATAGCAGAGGCTCAGCACAGCGGTGGATGCTGACACAGTCTCTGAGGGGACCCATAAGTAGTACATGCCTTGCTGCTGTGCTTTCCTCTCCAGCTGCGGGAGGGAGGACCGTAGCTTTGTCCATTTCACTTCATACTTAATAAATGTATTATCAGGCCATGAATGCCTATGGCAGCTATTCTGCAGGGAGGAGGAAATGAGAAAAATGTCCTGTAGAGAACAAACTTGCCTGCAGGGAGATGGATATGATGTAACTGGGTCTTATTTAGTCTTGGATTCCTAAAACTTCTGTGAAAAATGGATGAGAATCTCTGCATCCCCTTAGGCTGATACAGTAATATTCTGATGTGTTAGGCCCTCTCACGTTCTTTAACCATCCACAACAAAACTAGAGTTATAATAGCTTTGGTGTCTGCCTGGATTTTTTGTAGTTCTTTATATTTATTAAAATGCTTGGTCAGGAGGACTGATGGCTCCAGGGATTGGTAAGCTCTTCACCAGTCACCAGTTCAAATCCAGACCAGGTCAATATTGGCCAAAAGTATTACATCTGATGGCCGTTCAGGACCCGTGTGAAATGAGTTGGTGATCTCAGTCCAGTGGATTGATGTCCACATCACAAAAGCCACCATTCCACTTGGCACCCCTGTTGTGACAGCCTCAACAGAGAGGCCAAAGGTCGACTGGGCATGGAGACTAGCCTAGCAGAAGAGAGTTGAGACCGTACGGTGAAGCGGGCAGTGCCACTGCACATGCTATGCTAGTTCTGTGCATAAAGAGGCTATGGTCTGCGGGCTGTAAAACATTGGCCCCTCCGCCAGTACTAAACACACCAACACAAATGTTCTGCACAGAGATTATTCCTCATTGCTCAGTGTTTATCATTATTCCACCTGCCTCAAAACCGGAGCAACGGACACTTCCATTAGTGTCTTGAAAAGCTGTCTCGTTTCACTATATCTTCTATAATTTCCTATGTGTACTCTAGTGAGAGACAGTGACATTCTTATAGACTCCCCAAAAAGATCCCCATGCTTGTCGCAGTAGCAGCACC